AGTCTTTACAGAGAAGAAAAGCCTGTCATTTGCAACAACATGAATAAACCTGAAGGACATTATGCTAAGTGAAAAAAGCCTGGTACAGAAAGACAAATACTGGATGATCTCGTTTATTTGTAGACTCTAAAACAATTAAACTCATAAAAGCAGAGAGTAGAAAGGTGATTACCAGGAGTGAGGATGGGTGGACTAGGGAGATGATGGTTAAAAGGTACAAAGTTTCAGTTAGACAGGAGAAATAAGTTTTGGAGCTCTATTGTGCATCAGATGACTATAATTGATATTGTGCAATATACTTGAAAATCGCTAAAAGAGTAGATTTTATATATCTTCATGAGAAAAATTAAGAAATGGCTGAGGTGATGGATATGTGATTTAACTTGATTTAATTCTTTCACTACGTATAAATATATCAAAACTTAATATTGTATGCCATAAATATATACAATTTGTCAATTTAAATAAATAAATGAAGATAGCTAACTCCCAATAAACAAATAGATACTTATGGAATGAATGAATGATTCTCCTTTATTCATATCTTTCCTTCAAATCCTACTCTTCAACCTATCCTAGATGTCTCTCCCTCCAGTTTTTTCTTTGCCTGGTTGAGTAACTTTTTCTCTCTTAATTGGCCATAGAGTTGAGATCAATCATCCACCGTTTCTTGCAGTTATTTTTTAAAGATCAAAGCTCAATAGTCTCAGTTTAAAAAATGAGTGAATCAAAAGCTTTTATTTATTTTTAGCTCCATTCCCAGGCACATACATTAATCGCTTGCTTTTTGTTGAATGTGTGGCCCACTATTATTTTCTATTGGGATGTGGCCCTCCATAGAATAAAAATCCTACATCTTTATGCTACATAATGCCATATTAGAATGTTTTAAAAAATATTTTAAGAGGAAAAGGCCCTGCATCGAATGTCTCACTCCTATAGGAAGGATAGTAGGTTTCTGTGGAAAATGGAATGGATTTATGAATTGAGGAGTACAATTGACCATGTCAACACACATATGTGCAATTGAGTTCCAAAATAAGTGTATGTGCCATTAATATATTCATATGCAGGGTTTTGTATTACGTTGTCATGAGTTCAAATATTGGATCAATTCCTTACCAACTGTAAAATTTAGGGCAATTAATTCAGTTTCTCTGAATTTCAGTTTCTTCCTCTGTAAGGGGGATTTTGGGAAATTTAGTGAATTAACACACACAAAACACATAGCACAGTACTTAGCACATAGTAGGAGCTCTGTAAGGTTGAGATCCCATCCTTTAAACATGCTTCAGGCCAAATAGAGTCTATGAAGTAATGGAAGAGGATTAATAAATATATTTATATTTAGGCAATTTTTCTTCTGTGGAGTGGGTGTTCATTCTACCGTGGGTGTTCACTCTGTTCTTACACTCCACTGCTATCCTGAGTGTATTCATCATGTACTAACAGAAGATATTTTGATCAACCTTGGGAAATCAGAGGACTTGGCCATTGGGATGGAGTTTAATAAACCTTATCTTTGGAGTATTTATAGTTTGTGTTCTAGGCAGCTCCAGAGAATAATTAACTACAAAGCTGTGAAATTTGGGTGATGCATCCCTTTCTCTTTCAAAAAGGCCCTCAGGGGCACATGTAATGAAACATCTCCAAGGAGAGAGGATAAAATGTCTCTCTCAAATTCACCCTCAACCTCAGCTTTGAAACACCCTTCGAAAATGACCCCAAACGCAGGTGTCAGTGAATGCCAGAAAATCTTCATAAAGAGTACAGCCTCCCTTCTCTTTTTCCTCCATTATTCTGTCCACAAGCACATGTTCTATGTAGGAAGTGGATATTTTGAGTTTGAATGGGGGAAAACATGGCTTTGGGATCTCTCCTAACTCATTAGCACTTTGGGTATCGGAAGCAGCCTCTAAAGCCTGATTAAACTCCTTCCAAAGCAGGATATCAGCTAAAGGGCAGATAGAACGGGAGTGAGAAAGTAAGTGCAATCATTCATCTTTTACTCTTTGCCTTCACACCCACAATAATCTCACTTTATAGAGCTCCCTAGAGCTACAAACCTATGCATATAGACGGCCAAGAAGTTCTTTGACTTTTTGTTTTTCTTCCTGTGCCTCTTATATCTGTTTTTCCTCAAATTCAACCTAATCTCTTTTTTGTGCTTTTAGAAAAATAGACTTTATTTTTTAGAGCAGTTTTAGGCTCACAGCAATACTGAGCAGAAGGTAGAGAGATTTCCCGTATGGTCCCTGCCTCCCCGCCCCCCACATAGGCACAGCCTCTCCGGTTATAAACAACCCCCATCAGAGTGGCAAACTTGTTGCAATTGGTGAGTCCACATTGGCACATCATTGTCACACCAAATTCATCGTTTTCATCAGGGTTCACACTTACCGTTGTACATTCTGTGGATTTGGACAAATGCATAATGACATATATCGATCATTATACTACAGTACAGAATAGTTTCACTGTTTCAAAAACCCTCTGTGCTCTGTCTATTCACTCTTCTGTTCTTCCCTCCCCTAACCTCTGGCAATTACTGATCTTTTTTTACTGTCTCCATAGTTTTTGCCTTTTCCAGAATGTCATATATTTGGTATGATATAGCAGGTAGCCTTTTCAGATTGATTTATTTCACCTAGTAATAAGCATTTAAGCTTTTTCCATGTCTTTTCATGACTTGATAGTTTGATCATTCATTTCCTTTTAGTCTTATACTTTTCAAAATGTCTACTTTTTTGTTTTTACATGTTCCCGACTGCCATTTATGTTCTTCAGTAGAATACGGCAAAATTGAAGTTACAGGTTATTTTTGCAAAAATGTTTAAAACTTATGCTATTCTTGTTTTTAATTTTCAAGGTTTCTTTAATTCAATTCAAAACTGAAATTTAAGAAAACATACAAAAATTCAGGATTTTCATCAAATTTTGTTAACTGTATCAGATAATTTTATGCTTTTGATTTATCAGTTAAATAGTTTAATCGTTGCAGTGTTTCATCAATTGACGTACTACAAACTGGTCTCTTATTCTATATTATGTCTTAAATTGGCTATATTACTAAAATGAAGCTTTAAAAACACACGATCTCTTTCATTGATAATCACTTGACTATTAGCTATTAGTAGCATTTTTAAATCTTCAGAAAATATGATGAATTAAATTATTAGCATTATAAATGTGTTAACTGTCCATTAAGGATTCTGTGAAAAGTAAACTCAGCATGCTATTGGGTTAAGGTCACACAAATGTGAAAAGTCTTTTCAAAAGCCAAATTCACTCCAAAGAGAGAAGTGTGTTCATTGTGATCATCTGAGAGAGGCTGCAAAGTGAGATATTTAGGAACCCGATTCTGGAATCTCAGCTCAATCGTTGTTCTGCCCTACTGCTTCTTTGATGGTTTTTCTGACATATGTTTGAGCCCTTACAACTAGCAAGAGAATTGAGAGGCAATGAAATTTCTGAAGGAATTTCTACGCCCTTGAACACAGTTCCAATTATCAGTAAGTAGTCTGGAAATTAATTTAGAAGAACTGTAATCTGGACAGACTCTATATAGCAGATTTTCCAAACACTGCAGAGCCCTCTGATCTCTAAAACCTTCCTGTCTTTTCTGACTGCTGCCTTGAATTCACCATCTAAATTGTAATTCTTGGATCAACTCTTGCCTTGCTGGTCCCTTTTGTCTGATTAATGTGAATTGAGACTTGTAGATGTGTGAAAGGATGATAGGAATTCTTACGGATGTGGATTCGATGGAAAATCAAGGTCCCAATCTGAAAGATGCTGAGAACTCAAAGAATTTGTTTGAGGATACTCTGTCACTTAAGTTTTAAATGATAATAATAGCAACGAACACCTACAAAGCACTTACTATGGGCCAAGTATGCTCTAAAGAAGATAGATGAGAGATTAGATAGATAGATAGATAGATAGATGTTATTATCTTCTCTAATGTTACAAAGGGACAGAGAGTCACCTGCTCACTACCACACATCTACTAAGTGAGGCTGGGGGTTGAATCCAGGGAGTTTAGATCCAAAGCCCACACTCTTAATAATTGCATATCTTAGAGACTGAGACAAATTTAAAATTGAAACTACATTCATATATTCAGATCTAATATTTGACAATTAGGAACATTTCTACACACACATGACCTAATCCTTTGCATTAAAAGTATTCTAGCCGGGTTCGGTGGCTCAGCCTGTAATCCCACGCTTTGGGAGGCGGAGGTGAGTGGATTGCCTGAACCCGCGGGTTCGAGACCTGCCTGGGCAAC